TTTGCATATTAAATATTTAGCACATGCACTTAGGCAAAAGTCGAGGGGGCTATTAACGCGTGTAGTCAATGCTAATGTGGCCATTACAACATCGCGTGAAATTCATGATCTGATGCAAATCTAGAAACCACATGCCACGCACACATCCGGCCGATAAAATTCACAACTTTGGTGACAAGCGGAATCGTCCTGCTCGTCCTTTATATTGGTTTTTTTTTTTTTGGTTTCCCCCGGATGCGGATATGGAAATGCGAGCGGAAACGGATGCCAATGGCGCTTAATCGCAGCCAGTGCCCATTGGCAACGGCTGCCCCACTGTTGAAGGTGTCATAAAAATCCTATTATGCGCATTACAATATCAAAAGAACGAACGGGGCGCTCGATGCCCCGGAATCCCAGTGGGAAATCCGTAATATGCGGGCCACGCGGGGACGTAATGTTGCCATTGTTGCTATTGTTGCTTTTGTTGCTGGCAACCAGTAACAAAAATCAGACACACACACATAGCTGCACTTAGAGAAATGTTTTTTTGGTGTTTAATAATTTTACCAAGCCTCGGAGAATTTATAGGCCTCGATTATATTCTGTTTGTACGAAATATGTAGAATGTGCTACTTTAAGCTATGGATGTTTTGTATTTTTACATTTCCAAAACTCATTTTTGAAAAAGAAATATCCCAAAATTATTTTAAAATTGTATTAATACCTTTTTTTCTATATCAAATTAGCTTCTGTCCTTGTTTCAAGTGAATTCAGTGACTTTTCGCATCTCTCTCGGATATTCACTTGCATCTTTGCCTTTTGACAGATATGCCGTAATAAAATGTATCTGGCGGAAGAATTTTAATAAATTTGCAAGCATATCAACCACTGGCAAGGAAGGTGTTTCGATGCTGGTTCCAATGCCTCTGGCCTCTGCATTCCGGAAATAGAAGGCATCCAGAGAAGCCGGGAAGTTGCCCCCCCGGAAACATCAACATCAACTCAGAAGAGCTAGAGATCCACACCCAGAGCGACATAAATTATGACTAAATATGAACCGCCAAGGGAACACAGGGTCATGACCACAGGGGCATCTCACTTCCACCCTCGGATTGCGATTGGAATTGGGTTAGGGTTTGGTTACCGGCAAGCTGCAGGAAGTGGATGCCCAGAAATCGGGCGAGGGTGCGTATTTTATGTCCTGGGTGCCAGAAAATGTGGCAAAACATAAAAGTGAGCAGCATCGGGCGCATAATAAGCGAATTATATAACGTTTAGAAGGGTCACAGCAGCAGCAGTAGAATCGCCATCCTATGGACCCCTATTATATATATCCACTCGTTTCCCAAAAAGTGTTCTCCCGCCTTGGCCAATGCAAATTTACATTAATTTAGGCAGGGCACCGTGCTCTTCCTCAACATTCAATAAATGAGTTCTATTACGGCAATGAAGCGGTAAAAATGAAATTTTATAGCCCAACCCAATTTACAAATGACTTGTCCTCTCCCCGGTGATGGCCAAAATCGGCTTGCCAATTGAATTAGGTCCATGGCGGTAGGCAGATAACATCAAAGATGTTCGTTTGATAAGCCTCCATTGGGGAGTTTGGCTTAGAAGACATTTCTTTCTACATACTATATTGAAGTTACAGAATTTATCTTCACTCAAAGTTGAATAAGTAAAATTTGGACAATTATTTGTACAATGGAATTTTAAATTGAAGAGTACACTTTGGTAAAAAGTATTACCCAATTTTTGTAAAAAAAATAAATTTTTTTCAGTAATTAGTAATTAGTTATAAGGTTTGGTCGTCAGTTTGCACAAGGGAGCCATTATTTCAGATATAAGATATTAGCCGGGAAGGCGCACAGGTTCGTTAGTGTTCGCTGTCACCTGCACAGTACAGCTGTTATTTTGTCTGTGCGTCTCGTTTTGACGAATTTTGACGAATTTTGCGCTGAAACTCACAAAATACCAGGCGAGCAGAAACGTTCAGCAAGTAAAAACGATCAGCTGATTGGTTTGAACAACGCTCGCATAAAGTTGACGGCGTGACTACATATATTCGGCACGACCCAATTAAATACATGGGCCTTATATGATTTTCCGTGCCTGGCGTGCTATATTCGTGACACGCACAAAAGAACAACGGTGTAGAGCATCTCTGATCTCTAAGCCAAGAGAAAAACTAACGGCGTGTTCAAAAAGTAAACAAACAATTGTCTGAGCAACCCTGGCATAGAGCTGACGGCGGGACTACTTGAATTCGGCACGACCCAATTTAATTCATGGGACTTATATGAGTACTCGTGCCTGGCGTACCGAAATCGTGACACGCACAGAAGAACAATGCCGTTGAGCATCTCTGATGTGCGCTGCGCCTGCATAGGTATGTAAGCGTGATTACTTATTTTCGACACAATCGAAATTTTTATTTGGGGCTCGGCTTAAATTTCGTGCCTAACGTGCCAAATTCGTGACACATTCAGGAAAACAATGATGTTTTCCTTCTCTAGTTCGCGAAGTTACTGGAGTAACGGCTTTCCGCCATTAGCTGTCTCCTGGTTGGCTAGCCAATGGGAGGGCTTTAAGGAAATATATTTTTATTCCCAGCAGACGCTTTCTGTGAATTCTGTTCGCCTGGTAGAATTCCACAATTTTGTCCAATTTCGAGCCGAGTTGTCCCAATTTGGCACACAAATCTGCGGCTAAATTTCAATATGGGAGTACCAGGCGAAAAGAAATATCAGAAGGTGGTTGCAAAATGGAGCGACGAAAAAAAAAACTAACGGTAATTTCAAAAAGTAAACAAAATTGTCTGAGCAACGCTGGTATAGAGCTGACGGCGTGACAACTTATTTTCGGCACTACCATATTAAATACATGGGCTTGGCATATTTATCGTGCCTGACGTGCTAAATTCGTGACACGCACAAAAGAACAACGGTGTAGAGCATCTCTGACCTAAGCCAAGAGAAAAACTAACGGCGTGTTCAAAAAGTAAACAAACAATTGTCTGAGCAACCCTGGCATAGAGCTGACGGCGGGACTACTTGAATTCGGCACGACCCAATTTAATTCATGGGACTTATATGAGTACTCGTGCCTGGCGTACCGAAATCGTGACACGCACAGAAGAACAATGCTGTTGAGCATCTCTGATGTGCGCTGCGCTTGCATAGGTATGTGAGCGTGATTACTTATTTTCGACACAATCGAAATTTTTATATGGGGCTCGGCTGAAATTTCGTGCCTAGCGTGCAAATTCGTGACACATTCAGGAAAACAATGATGTTTTCCTTCTCTAGTTCGCGAAGCTACTGGAGTAACGGCTTTCCGCCATTAGCTGTCTCCTGATTGGCTAGCCAATGGGAGGGCTTTAAGGAAATTTATTTTTATTCCCAGCAGACGCTTTCTGTGAATTCTGTTCGCCTGGTAGAATTCCACAATTTTGTCCAATTTCGAGCCGAGTTGTCCCAATTTGGCACACAAATCTGCGGCTAAATTTCAATATGGGAGTACCAGGCGAAAAGAAATATCAGAAGGTGGTTGCAAAATGGAGCGACGAAAAAAAAAACTAACGGTAATTTCAAAAAGTAAACAAAATTGTCTGAGCAACGCTGGTATAGAGCTGACGGCGTGACAACTTATTTTCGGCACTACCATATTAAATACATGGGCTTGGCATATTTATCGTGCCTGACGTGCTAAATTCGTGACACGCACAAAAGAACAACGGTGTAGAGCATCTCTGACCTAAGCCAAGAGAAAAACTAACGGCGTGTTCAAAAAGTAAACAAACAATTGTCTGAGCAACCCTGGCATAGAGCTGACGGCGGGACTACTTGAATTCGGCACGACCCAATTTAATTCATGGGACTTATATGAGTACTCGTGCCTGGCGTACCGAAATCGTGACACGCACAGAAGAACAATGCTGTTGAGCATCTCTGATGTGCGCTGCGCTTGCATAGGTATGTGAGCGTGATTACTTATTTTCGACACAATCGAAATTTTTATATGGGGCTCGGCTGAAATTTCGTGCCTAGCGTGCAAATTCGTGACACATTCAGGAAAACAATGATGTTTTCCTTCTCTAGTTCGCGAAGCTACTGGAGTAACGGCTTTCCGCCATTAGCTGTCTCCTGATTGGCTAGCCAATGGGAGGGCTTTAAGGAAATTTATTTTTCTTCCCAGCAGACGCTTTCTGTGAGTTCTGTTCGCCTGGTAGAATTCCACAATTTTGTCCAATTTCGAGCCGAGTTGTCCCAATTTGGCACACAAATCTGCGGCTAAATTTCAATATGGGAGTACCAGGCGAAAAGAAATATCAGAAGGTGGTTGCAAAAATTTTTATTTTTAGCTTTCTGTGAATTCTGTTCGCCTGGTAGAAATCCAGAATTTGTGTAAAATTTTCGAGACCTTGTGGATGCGATAAATCGAGCGAGTTATCAAACTGGAATACCAGGCGAACAGAAATCGCAGTAGGTGGCTACGCAAAATTAATAACTAGACACAGCCTAATTGCATGTAACAAAAATTTGTAGGTGACTACGACATTTGCCGACTTTAATCGATCGTAGCTCAAAAGTATGCTACAGATTTTAATGCAAAAAATATTTCGTGGTGAGGACGACCTCCGTGGACGTTAATCGATCGTAGCCCAAAAGTATGCTAAACTTTAAAGCACGGATTGTATACAGTATTTAAATTAGAGCTTTCTTTTGAGCCGTAAGAAATATTTTAAACTTTAATATATTAAATTTAAATGACTTAATATCTTATTTTCAAACAAACCCTTTAATTTCCGGTAAAAAAGAAAACGCATATGTAGAAATATATTTTGTTTATATTTTTTTATTGTATTTATTTGCATTTGTCTGGTGGTTTATTTTATAATATTAAACATATAACATATATAAATAACAGGAAGGAAATAAAAAAATGTTTATAGCTCGATAACTAGAGATCAAAACTAAATTAAGTTACTGCTTCAGGACTCGAGAAACTTGGCGACCTCTTGTCCATAGATCGGCAGGACGCCTTTGCCTTAAACGACTTCTAATTGTTATGTAAGATAGGGAAGAAGCTACATGGTTGGTGTGAGCTGTGAGACAATCGTTGTTCCAAACCTGGAAAAGACAAATTGTTATCATTATTTGATGATGTTATTATTATATTAATAAATAACTTGACAATATATAAAATTAAAATCATATAAGAAATCATGTTTAGCTCGTAAGCTAATCCAACTTAAATTTATTATTAGAAGTTGCGATGTCGATTTTTCACTGTATAGGATTAAACTTAAAATAAATAAGACAACTGATATTTTAAAAAATATTATCTTTTCATTTATGTACATGAAAACTAGGGACAAGTTGCAGTGGACTATTTTAAATACGCATTTTTAAGCACAACTTTCTATCTCTAATAGTTCTTGAGATTTTCGCATTTTTAGTTTTTTGGGTTTTGTGGGCGTTAAGGGGCATCATAAAAACCTACATGCTTAATTTTCTATCCCTTATAGTTACCGAGATATCAGCTTTTCTAGAAAATGCGAAAACCGTCTTTTGCGCTTGGTGGGCGTATGGGTTTGTGTGGCCGAATAATGGTACCGCCATAAGATGCGCTGGCATCCCAAGTCTATACATACTGAATTTAAACTTTCTAGCTCTTATAGTTCCTGAGATTTAAGCGATTTTAGTTTTCGTGATTTGTGGGCGTTAGAGTGGGCGTGGCAGGATGCTGAAATAAACTTGCGCTGTTCAGGGACCTCAAGAATCTTCATGCTTAATCTCAACGTTGTAACTGCTATAGCACCTGAGATCTCAGCATTCATACGGATGGACGGACAGACGGACATGGCTCAATCGACTCCGCTATTGATCCTGATCAAGAATATATATACTTTATAGGGTCGGAAACGCTTCCTTCTATCTGTTACATACTTTTCAACGAATCTAGTATACCCTTTTACTCTACGAGTAACGGGTATAAATACTGTTGAGTGTGGAGAAGCCAAAATTCGCATTTTTGATAACCAAAACTTAAAACCCCTATACCTACTTTTAACAAATTTGTCCTAGTTTTTTTGCGGCGAGTACTGATTTACTGACTAGAAAGTCAAAAACCTATTCTTGACAGAATTTGCAATATTATTTGCGGTTTTTAGCTCTAGCTCGGTCAAAACAAGACGAACAGCCTTAAGAACGACTGTTTTGTGCTGCTAACGACCAGCACTAACCACCCCTATCACTCGTTTTTCGATTTTGGGAAAGTCATTTTTCGGCTAAATTTCGCATTTTTGATAAGGGGTACCATCATCAAAATTTTCAAAAATAGGCCAAAAATGAAGTTTTCCAGATTTGAATGCAAATCAATTGGGAATCATAGCAATCAAATTACGAGCCATACGAGGTATTAAATTCCATTTTTGGACCATTATGGACAGTGCTATAGCAAAAAAACAGATTTTCTTCCGCTCAAAATTATGCTGCGTCTTTTGATAGCTCTAACTTTTTCAAAACAAGACGCACGGCTGAAACAGTGACTGTTTTGTGCAGCTAACAACCAAAACCTAAAACCCCTATACCTACTTTTAACAAATTTGTCCTAATTTTTTTGCGGCGAGTTCTGATTTACTGACTAGAAAGTCAAAAACCTATTCTTGACAGAATTTGCAATATTATTTGCGGTTTTTAGCTCTAGCTCGGTCAAAACAAGACGTACAGCCTTAAGAACGACTGTTTTGTGCTGCTAACGACCAGCACTAACCACCCCTATCACTCGTTTTTCGATTTTGGGAAAGTCATTTTTCGGCTAAATTTCGCATTTTTGATAAGGGGTACCATCATCAAAATTTTCAAAAATAGGCCAAAAATGAAGTTTTCCAGATTTGAATGCAAATCAATTGGGAATCATAGCAATCAAATTACGAGCCATACGAGGTATTAAATTCCATTTTTGGACCATTATGGACTGTGCTATAGCAAAAAAACTGATTTTCTTCCGCTCAAAATTATGCTGCGTCTTTTGATAGCTCTAACTTTTTCAAAACAAGACGCACGGCTGAAACAGTGACTGTTTTGTGCAGCTAACAACCAAAACCTAAAACCCCTATACCTACTTTTAACATATTTGTTCTGATTTTTTTGCGTCGAGTTCTGATTCACTGACTAGAAAGTCAAAAACCTATTCTTGACAGAATTTGCAATATTATTTGCGGTTTTTAGCTCTAGCTCGGTCAAAACAAGACGTACAGCCTTAAGAACGACTGTTTTGTGCTGCTAACGACCAGCACTAACCACCCCTATCACTCGTTTTTCGATTTTGGGAAAGTCATTTTTCGGCTAAATTTCGCATTTTTGATATCATCAAAATTTTCAAAAATAGGCCAAAAATGAAGTTTCCCAGATTTGAATGCAAATCAATTGGGAATCATAGCAATCAAATTACGAGCCCTACGAGGTATTACATTCCATATTTGGACCATTTTTGGCTGTGCTATAGCAAAAAAAACTGATTTTTTCCGCTCAAAATTATGCTACGTCTTTTGATAGCTCTAACTTTTTCAAAACAAGACGTACGGCTGAAACAGTGACTGTTTTGTGCAGCTAACAACCAAAACTTAAAACCCCTATACCTACTTTTAACAAATTTGTTCTGATTTTTTTGCGTCGAGTTCTGATTTACTGACTAGAAAGTCAAAAACCTATTCTTGACAGAATTTGCAATATTATTTGCGGTTTTTAGCTCTAGCTCGGTCAAAACAAGACGTACAGCCTTAAGAACGACTGTTTTGTGCTGCTAACGACCAGCACTAACCACCCCTATCACTCGTTTTTCGATTTTGGGAAAGTCATTTTTCGGCTAAATTTCGCATTTTTGATAAGGGGTACCATCATCAAAATTTTCAAAAATAGGCCAAAAATGAAGTTTCCCAGATTTGAATGCAAATCAATTGGGAATCATAGCAATCAAATTACGAGCCCTACGAGGTATTACATTCCATATTTGGACCATTTTTGGCTGTGCTATAGCAAAAAAACTGATTTTTTTCCGCTCAAAATTATGCTACGTCTTTTGATAGCTCTAACTTTTTCAAAACAAGACGTACGGCTGAAACAGTGACTTTTTTGTGCAGCTAACAACCAAAACCTAAAACCCCTATACCTACTTTTAACAAATTTGTCCTAATTTTTTTGCGGCGAGTTCTGATTTACTGACTAGAAAGTCAAAAACCTATTCTTGACAGAATTTGCAATATTATTTGCGGTTTTTAGCTCTAGCTCGGTCAAAACAAGACGTACAGCCTTAAGAACGACTGTTTTGTGCTGCTAACGACCAGCACTAACCACCCCTATCACTCGTTTTTCGATTTTGGGAAAGTCATTTTTCGGCTAAATTTCGCATTTTTGATAAGGGGTACCATCATCAAAATTTTCAAAAATAGGCCAAAAATGAAGTTTCCCAGATTTGAATGCAAATCAATTGGGAATCATAGCAATCAAATTACGAGCCCTACGAGGTATTACATTCCATATTTGGACCATTTTTGGCTGTGCTATAGCAAAAAAACTGATTTTTTTCCGCTCAAAATTATGCTACGTCTTTTGATAGCTCTAACTTTTTCAAAACAAGACGCACGGCTGAAACAGTGACTGTTTTGTGCAGCTAACAACCAAAACCTAAAACCCCTATATCTACTTTTAACAAATTTGTCCTAATTTTTTTGCGGCGAGTTCTGATTTACTGACTAGAAAGTCAAAAACCTATTCTTGACAGAATTTGCAATATTATTTGCGGTTTTTAGCTCTAGCTCGGTCAAAACAAGACGTACAGCCTTAAGAACGACTGTTTTGTGCTGCTAACGACCAGCACTAACCACCCCTATCACTCGTTTTTCGATTTTGGGAAAGTCATTTTTCGGCTAAATTTCGCATTTTTGATAAGGGGTACCATCATCAAAATTTTCAAAAATAGGCCAAAAATGAAGTTTCCCAGATTTGAATGCAAATCAATTGGGAATCATAGCAATCAAATTACGAGCCCTACGAGGTATTACATTCCATATTTGGACCATTTTTGGCTGTGCTATAGCAAAAAAACTGATTTTTTTCCGCTCAAAATTATGCTACGTCTTTTGATAGCTCTAACTTTTTCAAAACAAGACGTACGGCTGAAACAGTGACTTTTTTGTGCAGCTAACAACCAAAACTTAAAACCCCTATACCTACTTTTAACAAATTTGTTCTGATTTTTTTGCGTCGAGTTCTGATTTACTGACTAGAAAGTCAAAAAACCTATTCTTGACAGAAATTTGCAATATTATTTGCGGTTTTTAGCTCTAGCTCGGTCAAAACAAGACGTACAGCCTTAAGAACGACTGTTTTGTGCTGCTAACGACCAGCACTAACCACCCCTATCACTCGTTTTTCGATTTTGGGAAAGTCATTTTTCGGCTAAATTTCGCATTTTTGATAAGGGGTACCATCATCAAAATTTTCAAAAATAGGCCAAAAATGAAGTTTCCCAGATTTGAATGCAAATCAATTGGGAATCATAGCAATCAAATTACGAGCCCTACGAGGTATTACATTCCATATTTGGACCATTTTTGGCTGTGCTATAGCAAAAAAACTGATTTTTTTCCGCTCAAAATTATGCTGCGTCTTTTGATAGCTCTAACTTTTTCAAAACAAGACGCACGGCTGAAACAGTGACTGTTTTGTGCAGCTAACAACCAAAACCTAAAACCCCTATATCTACTTTTAACAAATTTGTCCTAATTTTTTTGCGGCGAGTTCTGATTTACTGACTAGAAAGTCAAAAACCTATTCTTGACAGAATTTGCAATATTATTTGCGGTTTTTAGCTCTAGCTCGGTCAAAACAAGACGTACAGCCTTAAGAACGACTGTTTTGTGCTGCTAACGACCAGCACTAACCACCCCTATCACTCGTTTTTCGATTTTGGGAAAGTCATTTTTCGGCTAAATTTCGCATTTTTGATAAGGGGTACCATCATCAAAATTTTCAAAAATAGGCCAAAAATGAAGTTTCCCAGATTTGAATGCAAATCAATTGGGAATCATAGCAATCAAATTACGAGCCCTACGAGGTATTACATT